CCCCCATATGTCCTCCCACCATGGAGACCCTCCCAGAGCATCCTCACACCCAGCAAACACCCCCATATGTCCTCCCACCACGGAGACCCTCCCAGAGCATCCTCACACCCAGCAAACACCCCACATGTCCTCCCACCACGGAGACCCTCCCAGTACATCCTCACACCCAGCAAACACCCCCATATGTCCTCCCACCATGGACACCCTCACTAAACATGGTACCAGTTCTCCTTCATGTGACCCAAATATTTTATATATACTTCTTTTGAGACCCAGAGCAGTTTGAGAAAAACATGGCTTTAGCATCAGATAAATCTTTTTTTGCATTTTTTTTTTTTTTTTTTTTTGGCTGGGTCTGGGTTTGAACCTGCCACCTCCGGCATATGGGGCCGGGGCCCTACTCCTTTGAGCCACAGGCACTGCCCAATCAGATAAATCTTGATTTGAATTTCTGCTCATTAGCTGGGTGATTTTAGCCAAAATATTTCACCCTCTGGGATTCTTTCTTTGCCTGGTCTGTAGAATGGAGGTAAGAATAGTAATAGCCACACAGGATTGGAGTGGAGATTAAATGAGATAAGATACGGGACATGCTTACATAGGGCTTGGCAGATAATTATTTATTGTATAAAAGAAGCAACTGAGACAAAAGAATTTAAGTGACATCGAGTTCACATTGAATAATGACTCCAACAACCAACTTATTGTAATCTCTTTGGCCCAGATATCAGATTTGTTTACTTCTAATCCAGGACTTTTCCCACTAGAAAGCATAGGAGTTATTGTATGGTCTTTATGATATCCATCCTCATTTTAATATGAGGAAATAGAGGTTAGGGAGTTAAAGAACATTACCCTGTGCCACATAGCTGACATGCATCTGGAGTAAAATTCAGATCTGATACAAAAACTTACACTTCTAATACTAAGCTATATGCTTATAGGGAAAAGCATTCAGGGCCATGCGCAGTGGCTCACACCTATAACCCTAGCACTCCGGGAGGCCAAGGTAGGTAGTTTGCTTGAGCTCACAGGTTCAAGACCAGCCTGAGCAAGAGCAAGACCCTGTCTCTACTAAAACTACAAAAAACTGAAGCAAGACGATCACTTGAGCCCAAGAGTTGGAGGTTGCTGTGAGCTATGATGATGCCATGACACTCTACCTAGGGTGACAGCTTGAGACTCTGTCTCAAAAAAAAACAGGAAAAGCATTCAGAAAAAGTTAGTGTTGACTGACATAAATGTTCAGAGTTCTTATTTTGAATTATAATATTCAAATAATTCAAAGTCTTCTGAGGCCCCAGTAGCCCACCACTCCTAGCTATTAGACACAGCTCTAATAAGTATTAGTATACAGCTCTAATAAGTATTAGTAAACTATAAGTATTTAGTGAGTGCCTAGACCTTGGCCAGATATGGTTAGGGACCTAAAAAGTGTGAAAAAATTTGGATTCTCAGTAGGGGACACTACAATTGAATTTTGGGGGAATAAGAAGTCATTCCTAAGCAGTACCGCAAAACACTTCATTAAGCCTTAAGACAGGGATTGGCCAAACAAACGCTGTGCCGATAGATACCTGGCAGATGCGTAGCAGGCTGGGAGAGGTAAGAGATGGGGGTGGGCGCATGGCTTGGTACAAATTGGAGGCCATACATTTCATATGAAAGGGGACTGCTTCTCAGTTTTCAGCCAGGGGTTGCCAGAATGGGCCACAGGGCCAGCATGTCAGATCTTTTATTTTTTAAAGAGAAATATGAAACTTTTATGTACAGTCTCCCAATTTTTATGTGTGGCCAAGTCCATTACACCCTCAAACATTCTGCAGGGTATAATCAGCCAGCAGGTGTCCAGTTTGCAAACTTTGTTCTAGGAAGATCTCTAAATGGAATCATTAGGAGAAGCCTCAAGAAGGAGGCAGGCCTGGAGACAGGCCTTATTGGTAGGCAGGGAGGAGAGAGAGAAGGTAAATTTTTATTTTCTTGAAGGAATTCTATCCTCGTACCTCAGGCCCTTTACACAGGGGATTGTCTGCCCTATTTCTCCCAGATAATTCTTAATCCTCCTTCAGTTTTTATATCATTTATTTATTTAAAACAAGGTCTCTGTCCCCCAAGCTGGAGTACAGTGGATCCATCACAGCTCCCTGCAACCTTGAACTCCTGGGCTCAAGTGATCCTCCTTAGTAGCTGGAACTACAGGCATTTGCCACCATGCCTTGTAGTCCTGCACTAACTTTCTGATTTTTTTTAGAGATAGGGTCTTGCTATGTTGCCCCAGCTGGTCTTGTACTCCTACCCTCAAGTGATCCTCCCACCTCAGCTTCCCAAAGTGCTGGGATTATAGGCATGAGCCACCGCACCCAGCTAGTTCTAAGTTTGAACATCTCTGCCTCTAGGAAGACTTCCCTGTTTGCCTCATTCCAGTTGGAGGTAGATACCCCTCTGAGTTCTCAGCATCTTATACTCCCCCAGCATAGCAATTGTTATAACTGTCTGGTTGTCAGGATGGTTTTGTTCACTGTTGGATTCACAGCACCTAACAGTGCATGGTGCATAGTATGTTTTAGACACTTTGCTGAATGAATACGTAAGGGGGGCATTTCGAGTGCAGAGAGGTACAGAAAACACCATGAACCAAGCCACAGGGGAAGCAACGCACGTCTCCCACTTCACTCGTGTTCCTTTGCTCTCCTTCCTCCTGCAGCAAGTGAAAACCGTGCGATTTCAGAACTACAGCCCTCCTCCCACCAAACATTACAGCTCCAATCTCACCTCCGGAAAGCCTGAACAGCCAGCGACCCCCAAGGGGTCCCAGCATGAAGCATCCTTCTTGGGCCCAGAGATGACCATCCTATTTGCCCATCGAAGTGGCTGCCACTCTGGACAGCAGACAGACTTCCGGAGAAAGTCAGCTTTTGGCAAGGCCACGACTGTGGTGCCCACTGCCTCAGCGGCGCAGACCTTGTTTCCTGGCAAATGAATCTACAAATGGATTTTCCTAGATCCCAAAGAGGTGAATTCCATTTAAATACAGTTTGCCTCCCCTAAGGGCATCCTGCCATGCTTTGGGGACTTGAGTATATGTCCTTGTTCTTCCCATTTTGCCTCTAGGAAAAAAAAAGGTGGAAGCAGGAATTCCTGCCCTGGGTGGGAGGATAGATGGAGTGTCCTTCCCAACCTAATGATTTGACGCAGCAATGCCCACTACTCAGACCCAGGCATGGGAGACCGTTGTGTCCACTTTGTTCCCCAGCATGCCCTATGTGGCCCTCACTCCCATGTTCTGTGTAGAATTTCTATGGTGTCCTAAATGGGGCTCCAGCAGGGCTGTGACAGAGGTGGCTTGTTGGCATTGCTTTTTGACCTTACCGTAACCTCAGCTTCTGCCGTCTTCTGGGGATGGTGCACTGGCCACTAGCAGCTGCCATGGTTTCTCCCTTTGTAAAGTCATAATCCTTGTTGCCAAGGGAGAATTTCTGGGAAGAGTGTGAGATGGCTACTTCAAACATTCTGAGAACCCACTAAACCTGGAGGACGTCAGCTCCCCGAGTTTGCTGCAAACAGGGTCAGAGAGAAAGCTGACTACCAAAGATTAAAAGATTATCAGATGTTAAGGGAGGCATTGAACATATGATAATCTTCTTGATCTGTTCATCTCCTTCCTGATCTGTTTTCTTACACATAATCCTGCCCAACAGATGAGCAGAAAGCACGTGGCCACAGATAGGACCGTGTATGGGTATCACTGGCAATTGATTCACTCTGGCTTTGTAGCCTAATTTTCCCCCCCAAACACAACATGCTTAAAAGCAGCCTTGTACGGGGTTGGAGTTTGGACGTGCATTGTTTGCACTGCCACCGTCTCAACTTTCCCTGCTTTCCCCTCGTCTAGGGCAGCTGAGTTGTTTCACCCATCAGGCAGCCGTGTCAGTGGGAATCCAGACTGGGGCGAGGCACTGCCTCTAGGAAAGCTGCCATAAAAGGGACTGGACAAAGAAGGTTGGCAAGGAAAGGGGGGACAGAGAGGAAGAAAGAGGGAGAATGATGAACGTATGAGAGTAAGAGGGAAAGATTATCAGGGAAGGAGATAAAAGGCAACAAGCTTGACATCCCTGACAGGTGGGGAAAGAAGGACAGAGTGTGCAGTGCAGAAGGGGGCAAAACTAGGTGACCCCGCTAAGACAGGGCTGATGTGCATGGGACCGTCCAGGCAGAACCTGGTAAGCAGGGGTGAGGAGGCATCCCAGGAAGACAAGGCAATGCTGTACGACAGCCCATTAATTCTCATTAAGCTTAATTGTTGCAATTTAACATTTACTGCATGCCCATCAATGTGGCCATTTAAACGCATAAATACTATTTGGAACTAAGGCTGGGTGCCATAAAAAGGGGGGGGGGGCGGAGAGAAAGCAGGTCTAATTAGACCTTTCCCCTAGACACTTCTTGAACACCCTGGGATTCAAATGATTATCTTTATATGCCCACCCACACACTTGGCAATGGAATTGTCCACAGGCTTTTCCAGACCTTAATAAAACAGAACAAAGCCATAATCCTGCTCTGGAATACTGGCTTGTGTCTGAACTTTGGGGCTATAGAGCCAACACAGTAGCATGTCGTTCCAGGGTTTCTGGGAACTGTTGACCAGCATGTACTCCCCCAAATCAATCCCCCATCTCCATGCCTCACTGAACCAAATCAAATAATCCAGATGGAGAAATGGGATAAAGTCACAAGGACAGGGAGGCATCTTATGATGTGTCAAAATATGAGGAGTACCTATACCTCATCTTTACCCACAAAATGCTCTGAAGAGTTTAGCAATGGCCCAGCAGTCTACTGTACTCCCAAGTGGAGAGATACAGCATGACCGGCCAACCAAACATAGTCTGTGCCTCAGCAGCAATGAATCCAGTTAATTATAAATGTAGGGGGAGAACAGAGTCTCACTCTGTCACCCAGGGCAGAGTGCCATGGCTCATAGCTCGCAACAACCTCAAACTCTTAGGTTTGAGTAATCCTCTTGCCTCAGCCTCCCCAGTACTGAGACCACAGGCATCCGCGACAATGCCCAGCTATTTTTAAAGATGAGGTCTCACTCTGGCTCAGGCTGGTGAACTTCTGAGCTCAAGCAATCCACCCGCCTCAGCCTCTCAGAGTGCTAGAATGACGGGTGTGAGCCACCATACCCAACCAGGTTAATTGTAACTTTTGTGGCTAACAAGGTATAATGGAGACAGAATTGTGCCTTCTGAATGAAATGAATGTTTTTCCCCATTGTCCACTATCTTTATGGGATAGCCTTTCTCAGAAATGTAAACACCCAAGGCTTGCCACCCCTACTCCGTCCAGCCTTTTCACCTATGCCCAGCTTTAAACTCACTTCCTCCCAAACCAAATCCCATCTTTACAGAGTTTGGGGAAGGTTTAAAAGGGGAAGGGGATGTTTCTGAGTAAAAAAAAAGTGGACTTCACTGACAGATCCAACTCACTTATCCCACCAACAAGCTTCTAACACTGACTGTGTACTAGGCATGGCCACGAGGACAGTGGACACAGCCTCTCGTGTAATTTCTACCATAACCCTGCAGGGCAGATGTGATTATCCCCCCTTCAGAGGCGAGGAAACAGAGGCTCAAAGGTTAAGTACAGTTAGTGGCAGAGCAAAGGTGCAGACTCAAGCTTTCTGACCTCAGAGTCCATCTTGGGACTTGCTGTATAAACTGGAAGACCTTCCTGGACTCCAAGACACTGACTTTGGTGGCCAGGAGGCAGCATAGTGCAACTTGGCTCCAAACGCATGATGCAGTTTTAGTTACAGACATAAAAGAGCCCAGCAGGCTCTGCTGCACACAAACTGGGTTCAAATCCTCTTGGCCACTTTCAAGTCCCTTAACCTCCCAGCAGAGCCACGTTTTCTTAAATAGGAATAACACGATGTAGGGCCAGCGTCACCGGGCCAGCGTGAGGATTAACTGAGATAACGTGCAGAGTGACTTAAACAATGCTGGGCCCCAGTGAACACCTAACAAATGTTGGACTTGGGTGTTCCTAAGAAATGGGCCATTGAAATGCCAGGAGAGAAATTCTTATACAAGGGCATACCCAGCACCATGGGACACGACACGGTGCTGAAAAGAGACAGTCTAGTCCAGGTGTCCTCAAACTATGGCCTGCAGGCCACATGCAGCCCGCTGAGGACATTTATCCAGCCCACTGGGTGTTTTTGCCACCACTGCCTGTCCTGCTTAGCAGCCAACTCATCCTAGGGCCCACAGTCCAGCCCTCCAACAATCTTAGGGACAGTGAACTGGCTCCCTGTTTAAAAAGTTTGAGGACCCCTGGTAGTCTCAGAGGTCAGAATACGGGCTAAGCCGAGTCTTGAAGGACAAGTGAGAGTCAGACAGACAAAAGGGTGAGAGAAAGGGCATCCCAACAGAGGGAGAAGGTTGGCCATTGAGTTTAAATGTAGCAATTGGTCCAAGTTCTTTTGTACCTAGATGAATCTGTTCCTTCATAGAACATTCCAGAGGTCCCAGGTTGCACCCCAGCACATCAAGTCTGAAAATTCCATTTGTGGGCATTCTACACCTTAGCTAAGACAAAGATAGTCCCTAGACAAGGTGCCCCTTGCTGCAGGGTGAGACCCTGGAACCTCGATGCTACCAAAGGTGCTAGGAGTAGACATTTGATTGGGGGATGTCAGGGACTTCTAAGAGGTGGAGGTGAGTCGTGGCCAGCTGAGTATACACTCTGAGGCCCGTACTTGAGGAACTGGTCTCATTAAGGAGCACGTAGACCACTCACTTGGGCCTTGTCTCCTTCCTCCTCATTGGGACCAGCCTCTCATCCTCAGCCCTCGCCCATCCATGGACAGGGCTCCTAGAGCAGGAGGAGTGTAAGGCAGTGCCCCCACTGGTAACTTGGTGGCTGCAGGACTCAGTACGTGGCTCAATGACTTGCAGTGTGTCCTGAGAAATCAGAAGGTCCTGTCCAACCCGGTCCCGACCACGTTCCTGAGCAGCAGCAACTGGGGGGCGCTCAGGCTCAAGGCACCCTCAGATGTACTGTGCCTCCCTCAGCCTGCTTCAGTCACCCACACAGGTCTGCAGCTGTGTCAGGGACAGCCCCTAGAGGCCGTGTGCTAGACTCCATCCATCTCTCAAGTCGGCACAAACCCCTCCCCTCAAACATTGGCGCTGCATCTTAGAGAGCAGTGGACCCAGGGCGGTCAGGTCTCAGGAGCACGGTGAGCCTAGCCTGGGCCCTAGACAGTCTTATTCAGGAGTTCTGAGGTGGGGGCATCTGTGTTTTTAACCAGTCTGCAAGGGATTCTGATGCATGCGAGGATCTGTCCCGTGTCGGCCATAACGTGTAGCAGAGCTGACATACAGTATTGCCACCCTTGCCGTCATAATACTGAAAACAGGTTTGGACTGATAGGTGAACAGTGGATGCTCTGAGCTCCCAAGGACCTTCCCAACGCTCTTCCACCCAGCCCTAAAGGGCTCAGGCCAGGTATAGCTGAGACCACCAGCAATAAAGCCCTGCTTCGTTCCAATTGGCTCATGCCTGTCATACTAGTGGCAAAATATCTTGACTGTTACCCTATAACAGAGCTGATAGAGGTCTCTCAGAGACCAAGAGCACTGCTAACAAGCCCAGCACTCTTTCCAGCCCCATCCGGGCCACTGGCCAGCCCTTGACAATCACCTTCTCTGCATCTTGGCCTCGGAAAGGAGCTGATGGGAGGGAGAGCATTTCCCTGCTGGTGGGTCTGCCTTTTTCAGCTAACACTTTCACAGATGTGAGTAATACCCGGTGCTTCCCGGCTCCTCCAGCACCAATGTGGTAGGCACAGAAGTCATCTGTTTCAATGAACAGAGCAGGCATCCATCCTCATCCTCTCTCCTGCTGCTGACCACCCAGGCAGCCACACATCCTCTGGACTTCCTTCCCAGAAGTGAACAGCTGCGGTGGGCAGAATGGCAAAGTCCTATTAAGTCTCTCCAGCTGGGCCCACGTGCTCGGCAAGCTGGCACA